ACCACATACCCAAAGGCAGCTACTCAGCTGCTCCCAGTAGATCCTGCCATGGACTTGATTACCAGTCTCATCATGGGGAATACAACATCCAGCTGCCCAGCCACTCACCCAGGCCCAGCCAAGCTGACACACAACCTTCACCACCAGAGTCCTTTGAAGGCCTTTCATCCTGTCACTGTTGTAGCGTCCGACGGACCAGCATCTGAGCAGACCAGAGCTTGCCTGGGTGGCACTAGCGTGTGTCCGTCTGCTCCTACATCCTTCGATGTCTGTGTGGAGGATCTAAACCAAGGGCAGAAGAAATCAATCTTTTCTGTTCTCGTGAGAAAGCGTTCCCAGTGGGTAGGCCCTCGGCCTCCTGACCCTTGTCAGGATTGCTCTCTGCTCCCTGTGGCCTGCCATCTTGCTGTAGTGCCCACCTTGGGGACTCTGTCATCAAAGCCGTCTTCCTTTATTGTCATGCAGTGCCATCCCTTGCTAAATGTGTCCGATGAGGGGACCCTGTGCAGCTCATCCGTCTCCACTGTTAGTCCTTGTTGCTGTCACCATCAGCACTAACACAGAAGAAACTGGGAGTGAAGTCCCTTCTCCCACAGGCCTGGGTAGCAATGAGCTGGAAGACAAAAGTCACAGGACAGACGTGAGCGCTGCGGCCTGGGCCCTCACGACACCTCCTCACTGCCAGGAAGGTGGGGTACAGTTTTCTGCGGTGACCCTTCACTGTGGCCACAGTGACACTCTCACTCATCTCACCCAGCACCGTGCCCTTCTCTGCAGGGCTCTGAGGGGGTTCCGACTGAGAACCAGCAGTGGCCCCGATGACTTCTGTTAGCAGACAGCGAGCTGCATTATCAGGAACGACCCCCAGGCCACGGAGCCGGTGCAGGGGGCTTCAGAGGGAGCCCGGGGCTCCTCACACCCACGTAGCTGGACTCTCTTTCGGATTCACTTCGGGAGCTCTGGTGGCGCAGGGCCTAAGGCGTTTGACTGCCATCCAGAAAGCTGGCGGTTCAAACCCACCAGCCTCTCCTCGGAAGGAAGGTTGGGCAATCTACTTCCATAGTGATACTGCCTCGGAAACCCAAGGAGGGGTCACTATGAGTCAGATCCGACTCAACAGCAGTGAGTTTGGCTTGGTTTCTTTCTTTCCTTTTTTTTTTAAGTTGAAAAATTTGACTTATGTCAGAAAAACAATATGGCGAATAACCAACACATATTCCATGTTTATTCTTTGAATCTTTGCGGAAACAAGCTGGAATCTCTGCCTCCCAACCAAAGGGGCTGAAATTCAAGTGTGCAGAACTGCTGAGGACACACTGAGGGACAGGCTGACCCCCTTCTCTGTCACTTGTCCCCCTGATTCCCACACACCTGGCCTCACCGAGTCCCTCCCCTGTTCAGCCCTTTGTCCCCCTGATCCCTGCACACCTGGTCACTCACCATGTCCCTCCTCTGCTCTGTCCCTTGTCTCCTTGTCACTCACCAAGTTGCTTTGACTTCCTAGAGGCCATTCCAGAGGAGCAGCTCCTGAGTTGCGGGGCCGGTGACTGCCTGATGGCCAACGTGTCCAGCAACAGCACCCTGCGCCCGTCCCAGGACCTCATCTACACGCTCGTAGGCATCTACACAGGTACGTGGCCACAGGACGGGGCAGGTCCTGGGCAGGCTGCAACCCTGACCTCCGTGTTGCCAAGCTCATTCCCTCCAAAGTGGCCACTCACTAGTGTCCCTGTGTTACAGAGAACTGTTGAAACACTTAGCAACTAACAGAAAGGTTGGGGTTCAAGCCCGCCCGGAACATGTTGGAAGACAGACCGGATGACTGCCCACACTCTTATGCAGATGATGCATGCGTTATGCATTCTTTGCCAACGGTGCGACCCTTAGCTTCCTGCGAGCACCAGGCTCGCCACCTGCACGTGGGCAGTGTCTACGTGGGAGCAGCATTTACAGGGGTGTGCTACGTGCAGAAAATATGGCACCCGCAAAGATGAGCCATTGCGTGGGGCAGCCGTCCCCTGAAGCTCGTGGACCCCCAGGAGGTGGAAGTGACTGTGTGGCAGTGGATCTGGTCTCAGGTCCCTGAGCGATGTCAACAGCTGGCACTTGACTGCTCACGTAAGGGCTGGCGGTTCAAGCCCACGCAGGAGACTATAGAAGGCCCCGGAGGTCTGCTTCTGTTAGGATCCCAGCCAGGAAACTGGGGCAGTGCCCTCTGCCACACACAGGGACACAAGACAGACCCGACTCAGTAGCAACAGCAGTGACCCTCCTGACGGAAATTCCCCAGAATCACGGTGACTGGAGGGTGGGGTGGACCAAGGGGACAGAAGAGAAGGCTGGTGTGTGTGTGGGTCTCAGGACCAGCTACGGCCAGGTCACAAAGGCATTGGCACACTCATGGTTTGGGCACTCTCAGACACGTGGCCTGAACAGGGTCCCGTGTTGGCATGGCTGGGAGGAGCAGAGAAGCTGTGGGCAGAGAGACTGGTTATGAAGCTGGTGTGATTGTCCACACGGCAAAACAAAGGACAGGGCAGGGGCAGAGGCAGTGGAGAGAAAGTGGAAGGGCAGTGACTTGGGGTGAAGACCAGCAGGGTTGGCTGTGCACTGGATGTAGGGTGTGGGGGAGAGAAAGAGGCCAGACCAGCCCTGAGTCTTCAGAAGGACTTGGTTTTGTTTGGGACGTCCCGTGTGATGAGACCACAGAACTCGTGTGGCGTGCAGAGCTGGTGAAGCCCTGGCAGGACCCAGGACGAGCGCCTGCGATGTGGGAGGAAGACAACCCTCAGGGGTCTTGGGGGAACCCCACAGTGCAGAAGTAGTGGGCGGGGCCGTGTTTGAGGTGGCCAAGAGGGACAGAGGCCTTTCAGAGACTCAGACAGACGGAACTGGGCAGCACGCCCCTGGCGTGGTCACCAAGAGACCGCAGATGCCCACAGAGAGCACTCTTGGTACGGCGGCGGTGGGGACCCAGGCCACAGGGGCGTGAGGAGGGCAGAGGCCTGAGGCAGGGGGAGCCATGCGCCCAGCAGGGCACGGTCTGCACCATCTCGGGGTTGCTGGCGACCTGGAGCCGTCTGCAGATTCCTGCCGCCCCACGGTCCTGTCCCGGGGCTCAGGCGGTATTCCCCACAGCGTCCGCTCCACACGCTGAGAGGCCACACGGCTTGGGAAGATGGCGTCTGCCGGATTGACTCAAGATCCTCGTTCTGGGCCCAGACGGGCCCTCTGCTGGTTTGTCACCTCAAATACGGGCCACATTTTCTCTGTAATATGACGGGGTTCCGGAGCTGTTGCCCCCCACTCACGGGGACCCCAGGCAGATGGAGCGAAACACTGCCTGCTCCTGGGCCGTCCCCACCGTCGGCTGCAGGTCGGACTGTTGGGTTCTCACTAGCTGACCTTCAGAGACAGATTGCCGGGCCTCGTAGCCTTAGTCCTCAGGTGCCAGGGAAACTGCTCAGGGTCACAGCGACTCACCAGCCTCCGCGGACAAGCGGGCGGCTGGGGATTGGACCTAGTCTCCCGCCTGGAAGGTGCGAGTCCCATCAGTGAACCGCCACCGCGTCAGCCGTTGGCTGTAAAGGTCAGATGGCGCGTGTTCTAGTCTGAGGACCGTGTGGACTGCTGCTGCCCAGGGGAAGTGCAGGGAGTTCTGGGTAACAGGCCCCACTGCTGTCGGTCACACCTGTCACCTGCAAGAGACAGAAGGAAGCAGAACATGCTGATGAGACTAAGTGAAGGGTAAAAGGCCACTAAGCCGGTCCCAGGCTTAGAGCGCACGACCAGCGTCAGAAATCACTCAGAGTTCTGGCCTTCAGCAGACCCCCGAGCATGAGCGTGGCGCAGGACTGGGCGGCGCTGTGAGAGAGAATCAGTCGTCAGTGCGGACACAGGAAGGCGTATCCGGTAACAGCGTGTGGATGACGGGCGCGGAGATTTGTAGTCCAGAGAGTTGGGGTGCTCCTTCAGGAGGGAGGGGAGCAATTTCCTTTTATAGATAAGCCCTTGTCAGGGTTCAAATTGCACACACTGTGAAAGGACATTCAGGGCGATGTCTCCCGCTCACCGGTCCCTCGGCCTCCCGTTCTCCTCCCTCACAGGCACCCCGCCCTCTTGACATGTCTCAGGAAGTGCTTCCTGCAGGTCTGCCCGGGTACAGGCCGGCCCTCATTAAAACAAGTGGTGGCCCATTAGGGCCTCCGTTCAGTACCTGTTTCCTGCACTCGGCCATTTACTGGAAGGGCTTCCCCATTTCATAGATAGATCCTGCTGCAGCAGGGCTTCCCATAATATGCTCCCACTGAAGGGCTTCTGTGTATGTGTAGGTTCGGAATAAACAGAGTCCCGAATGGGAACCTTGTGGCTCGCTGTCCTCTACAGTGGACTGGCTGTGGGCAGAAAGTGGCTGCAGGAATGAGAGGAACTGAGCTGATGGTGGAGGGCACCAAGGACACCTGGGGTCTCTCCCTGATTTTTCGCATGTGTGCCACGGACGACAGCCCTGACCCGCTGTGGAACGTGAAAGCCTGCGATGACCAGCTGGTCACAGAACCTACAGACGTGAGATGGAGTGTCGTGTCCGTAAGCACGCACTGCACACGAGATCGCGGACTTCGTTCTGCCTGTGCCTACCATCCCCTCACATCTGGGCTGAAAGTATCCCTACTCGAGAGAAGCAGAGATGAGTGGATGCCTTTGAACTGTGGAGTTGGTGGGGAATGCTGAGAGTGCCAGGGCCTGCCGGAAGAACTGACGAGTCTGTCCTGGAAGAAGTGCAGCCAGAATTCTTCTCGGAAGTGAGGATGGCCAGCTTCCATTTCATGCACTTTGAACATTGGATCCGGAGGGACCATGCCCCAGAGAAGGACCTCGTGTTTGGAGACGGGCTGACATGGTGGCTGCAACCACGGGCTGAGCAGGGACTGTGAGGCTGGCACAGGACCGAGCAGTTTCCTTCTGTTGCACACAGGGTCTCTGTGAGTCAGAGCCAGCCTGATGGCATCTAACAACAAGAGAAGCCGGGCTGGCTGACATGGCGACCAGGTCCCTCTGGGGTCCTGGTAGCTAAAAGGCACAGTAGCTTCATTACAGAGCATGGCGCTGGGGACAACTTTGGGGAGCCCCCTGGTGGAGTGGTGTTAACAAGGGGGCCCTGTGGGCACACCGGGCTGCTTTCCCAGCCCACGTCCCACCACCGTGCCTCTGTCCGCCCCGTTAGGATGTGGTGTGCTGGCTGTCCTGATGGTAGCAGTGTTTCTAGAACCAGTGCAAGACCCCCAACACAGAAGTGAAGGGGACAAGCAGTCATCTTTGTGGTCCAACTTACTGGCCACGTTCAGGCTTCTCCGAGACAGACGGCTGCGCCTCCTGGTCCTGCTGCCCACGTACAGCGGGTTCGAGCAGGCCTTCCTGGCTGGCGACTACACGAAGGTAGGAGGCCGTGGCAAGCAGGTGGGGATGCAGGGTGCCGGGCCTAGGCGAGGCCGGGAGGCGGGGCTGCTCAAGGTCGCTGCTGATAGCCGAGTTATGGTTCTTGCTGTCAGCTGCCCAGGGACTTCCAATTCGCTTGAGCTCCCTGTTACTCGAGGGAAGCGTGTCTCCTGCGAAGCACCTTCAGGGGAGCTCCAGGGCTGTGCCCAGGCCCCGGCTGCTGAGTCATCACGTGTGTGCAGGGCTGACACTGTGTTCAGAATGTAGAGTGAAAACGTTAAAATCCATGATAGCGTCAAGTTCCTCATCACTGACTCCTGGTAGAGGCTCCCTGTGGCTCTCGGCACCGTTTGCCCCTCTGTGAGCGCCACCTGCCCCCACCTGACCAGCATCTTTGCCCACCCTCCTGCTCTGGGGGCAGGGTGCAGTGGGACAGGAAAGCCAGGCACCCCGAGTGCCCTTCCTCCTGTGAAGTTGGCCGATCACACCCCAAGCCCTGGCTGCCACCCACCAGGGAGCTGCCCACTGCAGGGTGGTCTCTCCCGAGGCACCCTCTCAGATGCCACGGAGGGCCGCCCAGAAGTGAG